TCGGGGCGGGGGCACGAGCCTGGAGGGCGAAAAAGGGGATGTAGGTGGCCCTGGAAGAAAAGCTCGGCGGCCCTGCGAGAGCCGTCGATTGTCCTCGTGCTCCAAAGTCTTCCTAGTCCCTGGGGTCTCCCTCCGCGGATTGGTCCTTGAGGCCGAGCTTCCCGAGGAGCTTCGCCGCCTCCCTCTCCAGCCCGCCGCGTGGCGGGGACCCTGGCAGGTAGTGCACCTTCTTGCTGGCCTCCTGGCTGTTGCCCGCCGCCTCCAGATTCCTCTGCGCGGCCTCCACGAGCGTGATCTGACACTCGTCCAATTTGCTGGGCTGCTGCTGAACGCCCAACATGATCTGCAGCTCGAAGCGGTCGGGATTGTTGATCTTCTTCTTGTCGAAACAGCATGCTTTGATCCTGGAATGCCCGCGCTGGGCGGCCAAGATGCCCAGCGCCGTCGGAGCGAGAATCACCTTCGTCCAGTAGTCCTGGAACGCACTCTTGGCCTCCTGAAGGGTGTGTCTGCGCCCTCCGTGCAAGCCCACTTGATGAATGCTTTGAATGCGTGCGGCCAAGGAGGCCCGTGGTTGCGGCCCTTGCCATCGGCCTCGCAGTGCTCCGCGTAGTTGCGCCCCGTTTCCTGCAGCACCTTCGCGAACGGCGCCTCGGCGCCCGCCATGTTGCGCGTGTAGCAAGCGCCAGTCACCTCGGCCAGCTCGCGCGCGCTGGTGAGCGCGAGTCCGGCAAGCACCGCCAGCAAGGCCGCCAACGCGCCGCCCCTGCCGTTCTTCTGGTCGTCGTTGGCCCCCTGGCCAAGGGCCTGCAGCAGACGAGCATGCTTGGCGCCGTTCGCGTCGTCGCTGCCCCCCGTCCCCTTGCGATCGCCGACCGCCCGAGTGGGCTCCTCCATCGCTGTCGCCAAGCACGGGGGGCAGGTCTTCGAAATGGACGCGCGCGCGAATATGGAGGCACAGCGTTGTAGCAAGTTGAGCCTCGCACAAGTAACAGTCGAAGGGGCGTTCGGGGGCGTCGAGAGCGAGGGTCGCGCTGAGCTGCCGCCTGCAAGAGCCCGAAGCGAACGCATCCGGAACGCGGTTGCAAGCGGAGCTGCGGCCCTGAAAACTGCAGCAGCAGACGAAGCACGAGGGCACCCGATTAGCCTCTGCATGGAGAGTCTTGAAGCTGTGGGCCGCGCGAACATCTATCAGCCATTGCCTTTTAGTCAAAAACCCTTTCCCGCAGTCGTGACCCTTGCAAACGTAGCCTTCAGCGTGTCCCGCGGGTGCCTCGGGCGGAGCGGGCGGGGCCTGTTGGGGCGCGCCTCGATGGGGGGGCGCAGACCGACAGCCAAGCCGCCCTGGCAACCGAGAGGTCCAACTCCATGAACCGGTCCCTCAGATCCCTCCTCGAGAAACTCCAGCGGGGCTCCAGACCAGGAGCTCATGTCCTCCGCGGTGTCCGAAGACGTCCTCCGAGGAGCCTCGAAATCCCTGACGCGATGAATAGCCCAGGGATTCGCCGTCGGGTCGAGGAGGCCCTAGGGGGCCCAGGCACGGGGCCGTCGCGACATCTCGACTTTCATGTCCCCGAACAGGGGGGCCCACTCGCTAATGTGCCTCACGGGGTTGGCGGCCCACTTCTGGTGCCGCCGCAGGCGTCGCACGCGGAACTCAACCTCCAGCGGGGGGGGGGGCTTCCAGTATCTCAAGGCGGAATCCGGCGAGATTGAGCGAGCATGGCCCCCCGTCCCCAGACGTGGCCGCTCTCCTCGTCGCCTTGCGTCCGAAGAAGGCAACCCTGGGCGCGAGCGCGAGGAGCTGGCCCGAGGTCGGGGGAAACGCCTCGCGCGCCGAGCGGGCGGGGCCCGCGGCCCGAGCAAGAAAAACTGCGCGCCTCTCAAAGCGCAGGCGATGCGCTTCGGGTACCAATACTTACCCATGGAAAAGAAGCTCGTGAATATCGCAGCCAATCTGGAGGCCAGCTCGGCCCGAAAGGACCAGTTGCCCATGGCCTGGCCCCCGAGGTGGCGAGTGGCGTCTGCTGGGGCCCCAGAAAGACTTGTTTTGTTGTGATCCACCCTCTCTCCGATGCGCATGAAGTCCGTCGCCAACAAAGGGCCGGGAGCTGACGTTCTTGGTCGGGTTCAAGGCGCAGCCGCGGCACTTCCGCTCAGCCGGCAGCAGAAGGTCGCATGCCCTCGACCACCGCGATAACTTCAGAGTCGATGTCTGGTCCGTCACAACAATCTTTCGGATGGCGTCGTCTACGCATGAGTGAAACGTCAGATCCCAAGCAATCTCCTCCCCGTCGCAGTGTGAAGTGATCTCGCACCAAGTGGCCGACTCGGGTCCGAACTTGGCCAACTGGTCTTGAGTCGTCTCGAAAACCGCGCCGACGTCCCCGACGAAAGCCTTCGCCGCCCAGGGATCGCCGACGAGCGCGCCGACGCTTGGGCGCACGCAGACTTTTCCAAACACTACTGCAGCAAAACGAAACCGTTGTCCTCTATGCATCACATGGTCCGTCTTCATGATGCTCTCGT